TACTTAATATAATTTTTTATAAAATTAAATATAAAAAAAATTTACTATTAGGTTTATATATAATTTTAAAATACTTGTTCCTATTCTTAATTAACAACAAGATTGTAAAAAAGACAAATACAAAAGACTGTTTCTTTACTTTGTTTATCTTTAATAATGTTATATATTGTAGTTGTTATTAAACTATAATTATTTCTTTAGTTATAATATTACCAAAACTTTGGTATGCCTAGTTGTAATTTATTATTATTATTTTTACTTATGAAAAAAATAATCTTTGGAAAAAAGTTTTTATATATAATATATTATAATGAACTCAAATACTTATTGCAAGTTATTATTAGTAATCTATATTTTTTACTATAAATATCTTGAAATATTAATGCATATATAAAGAAAAGGGTTAATCACTATAAATATATACCTCTAAATAAACATGCTTACCTACCAAATTTGAAATATGATTGGATATCAAGTGATTGATGCTCCCTGAAATTTTTTGGGGTGCGTCAATAATCTTCATAAATTCCACAAATCCGTGCATAAATTATGCAAAATCGTGTCTTAAGGTGAATTATGCGAATATTATGTCGAATCATAATCCTGAACACTCTAACGCTGGGGTAGTTGAAATTGTCTAATTCGCATTCCAAACCTGTATACGAATGATGCAGAGAAATAATTCAGACTCAAAAGATCAGAAACTAATGTTGAAAGGTTCACCTTCTCTAAGCATTCTTTAATTATTTCATGTACATATAATATGCTCCAAGAATTCAATCCATAAAAACATATATCGATTTAGTAAAGTCATCCTGTGATTAGTTCTAACATCATCACTAGTCGATATCCACTAATGACAACTGTATATAAGCGTAAATTTAATTAACTAAATACGATTTACAGTATTTATTTACTTTATTAAATGAACGATTTATAAGATAATGTTTACGTGTTGTTTCAAACAATTTGTAGGCGCGAGTTGTCTTATTTTATCCAAAAGAAAAATGAAGAAATTTACAGTTTTTAAAATTTAATTAAACGAAACGGCAGCAAGTAAACTTATCTACTGGAATGTATTACTTCAGAAAAAGAAGCGAAAACGAAGCGGAACCACAATTTTCAAAAATTAATTGAATGAATAAAATGAATGAAGGAAAAAAAAATTTTTGAAAGGTTTTTTTTCTTTTCTCTTTTTTTTTTCTTTTTCTCATGTTTTTCCTTTTTCTAAAATATTCCATTATTTATAAATCATATACGGATGTGAAATAATTATAGAGTAGGAAGGATGGAATGAAAATAGACATCGACATGGATCAAGTTTAACGAAAAGGATTCAGTTGATTTCTTAAATTGACATAGCTTAATTTTTCATCCTTATTTGCAGTTCTCCATAGTATGTGAGTTGTGCATCTTAATAAATCATAATTTTCGCTTTCGACACCAAGTCGAAGTGCTTCTTGCATTACGCTTATTTGGCACAAAGTTCGGCATGTCACTTGTCGATGTCTTCGATATTGAGCCCCGCCGGAATATGATGAATACCAATGAGAGTAAATTATATCGTGTCGCGCGGGAAATATATTCGACCTGTTTAAAGTGTTAATGAAATTTTGGGCCTGGATTCCGAGTTGTGAGTTGGCCATCGTTTACTCTACATTAGAAACCCTTCTTTTGCTTAGCATTTGGATTAATGATTTATATACATATTTAATCGGCTTCGACAATTCCATACTTCTATGCAGCAACAATGAACAGATAATGACTCAAAATGGATAAATCGTACGTGCATGAATAAATTGCGTTGAATTGATGATCGAATTCTTTGATTCATGACTAAATTAGATCGTCACCTAATGCTACAGAAGGCGTACATGCGTACGTAGCAAATAAAAACAACTATTAATTTTGGAATTTGTTACGCGTCTCTGAAAGTTGATTATGCAAGATCTGTTATTGAAATTACCTAGCTGGTTGAGCATTAGATGAGCTGATTTAACAATTTTGGATTTTTTTTATTTGTGGCTTAACGCTAATGACAATTTTATGTTCACTCATTAACTCAAATTTGGATAATCATTCACATGTTCTCGTGAGCAATTGAATGATTCTTAAATAATATCTAACTTCACTTTTTCATAACTTAGAATAGATTCTAAATTAATAATAAAATGCAGTAGAATACTTGTGCTGCAAAGCCTTGCATTATGTTATCGATGCATAAACCCATTCATCAAAACTATTATTAATTAAGTTTCGTGTACGACATTCTTTTTTTTTCTTGTGTTTATTCTTTGATAAATTACCGAGAATATTGTACTAGTTCTAGAATTTTACATATATAGCATTGTGTAATGATGCGATCAAATAGCTGATAGGCTAACCTTATCAGATACTAAAACATGATCATTAACCAATCAAATCGCCACTGGTTAAAAAGTTAAATCTTAATTAAATAATATATTGTGTGAGGGACCAAGATGAGGTTGGTCCAACCTGCGGTCAATTAGTATTTAAAGTCCGCTGATGATTAGTAATCATTAAAATACTAATTAACCTCACGTTGAGACCAACCTTATATTGGTCCATCATAAATAATAATCTAATACTAGGTAATATACGTAGTTTAATATATTTACTAGTAAATATATTAAACTACGTTATGGGAGTGAGTCAATAGAACGCATCATAGTTTTTCTAAGTAAATTTTTTTAAAACTTTAAAGATAAAGTACGTGTAGATCATTTGTCATATGATTTGCGCAGTAAATTTAGATTTACATAGTAAAAATATGTTACTAATAAAATTTTTTAAAAACGTATCAAAATTTTATTAAATTTTTAGGATATATGAATTAAAATGGTTTATTATAACAAAAAATTATAATATATATTATTTTGAAAAAACTATACTTGTATATATCATAGAAGTTTTAATAGTAAATTCAAATTCTTAATAGTAATGTTCTAATTGGTTGATTATTTTTTTTTTTCTTTAAGCAGTTATATTAATGTTTTATTAAGATTTTGAAATTGCATTTGCAATTATATAAATATCCTTAATAACTAAGCCCAGCATCACCTGATCATCCTAATAGTATCTAAGTGTAACCTGCTGCATTACTTCAAGCAGAAATAAGTCACTTGTCTAATTATTTAAAGTCTATAATGAAAGGGTCTTCTTTCTTTTATAACAAGCTCTAAAATTGTTTTCTGTATTTCTTTTTTGATTTGTTTTCTTTTTTCTTTTACTTTTTTTTTCTATTATTTGTTAATTTGGTTTCTTTTTCTTATTTAATGTTTTTTCTCTTTTCTTTTTCTTCTTTTTATTTTATTTATTATTCCTTCATTTTTTTCTTCTATTTTTGATCTTCTCATATTAGATTCTCTATACTTGTTCATAAAATATATTCCAGATCATTCTTGTTATTATATTTATAAATTACTGTCTTGATTTTATACTTAGAAATTGCCTTTTAATTGATACCTCCTTATTTTAATTTCTTTTATTTCTTTTTTTTTTTTAAAAATATTAATGGTAAAGTCATACCTTTAACTTTATTGAAATTCAATTGAAGTTTTTACAAAAAAAAACTTGCTTTTAAATTACATATGAAGAATAAAGA